AGTTCAGTTGCTCAGTCATGTCCGACTCTTTGCAACCCCATGGACTGCAGCATGCCAGGCCTCCCTACCATCACCAACTCCTGGAGCTTATTCAATCTCACGTCCATCAAGTCAGTGATGCCATCCAACCATTTTATCCTCTGTTGTCCCCTTCTCCTCCCACCTTCAATCTTTCTCAGCATCAGGGTCTTTTCAAATGAGTCAGTTCTTCACATCAGGTGGCCAAAGTATCAGAGTTTCAGCTTCATCATCAGTCCTTCCAATGTATATTCAGGACTGATTTCCTTTAGGATGGACTGCTTGGGTTTCCTTGCTGTTCAACAGACTCGCAAGAGTCTTCTCCAACACCACAGTTCAAAAGCATCAATAATTCAGCACTCAGCTTTCTTTACAGTCCAGCTCTCACATCCATACATGACTACTGGAAAAACCAAAGCTTTGAATAAATGGACCTTTGTTGGCAAAACGATGTCTCTGCTTTTTAATATGCTGTCTAGGTTGGTCATAACTTTTCTTCCAAGGAGCAAGGGTCTTTAAATTTCATGGCTGCAGTCATCATCTGCAGTGATTTTGGAGCCCCAAAAATAAAGTCAGCTATGTTTCCACTGTTTCCCCATCTATTTGCCATGAAGTGATGGGACCGGATGCCATGATCTTAGTTTTCTGAATGCTGAGTTTTAAACCCACTTTTTCACTTTCCTCTTTCACTTTCATCAAGAGGCTCTTCACTTTCTACAATAATGGTGGTGTCATCTGCATATCTGAGATTATTGATATTACTCCCATCAATCTTGATTCCAGCTTGTGCTTCATCCAGCCTAGCATTTCTCATGATGTACTCTGCATATAAGTTAAATAAGCAGGGTGACAATATACAGCCTTGACGTACTCCTTTCCCAATTTGGAACCAATCTGTTGCTCCATGTCCCATTCTAACTGTTGCTTCTTGACCTGCATATGGATTTCTCAGGAGGCAGGTCAGGTAGTCTGCTATTCCCATCTCTTCAAGAATTCTCCACAGTTTGTTGTGATCCACACAGTCAAAGGCTTTGGCATAGTCAGTAAAGCAGAAGCAGATGTTTTTCTGGAACTCTCTTGCTTTTTCAATGATCCAGCGAATGCTGGCAATTTGATCACTGGTTCCTCTGCCTTTTCTAATTCCAGCTTGAACATCTGGAAGTTTATGTACTGTTGAAGCCTGGCTTGCAGAATTTTGAGCATTAGTTTGCTAGCATGTGAGATGACTGCAATTGTGCAATAGTTTGAGTATCCTTTGGCATTGCTTTTCTTTGGGATTGGACTGAAAACTGACCTTTTCCAGTTCTGTGGCCACTGCTGAGTTTTCCAAATGTGCTGGCATGTTGAGTGCAGAACTTTCACAGCATCATCTTTTAGGATGAAATAACTCAACTGGAATTCCATCACCTCCACTAGCTTGATTCACAGTGATGCTTCCTAAGGCCCACTTGACTTCGTATTCCAGGATGTCTGGCTCTAGGTGAGTGATCACACCATCGTGATTATCTGGGTCATGAAGATCTTTTTCGTATAGTTCTTCTGTGTATTCTTGCCAGCTCTTCTTAATATCTTCTGCTTCTGTTAGGTCCATACCATTTCTGTCCTTTATTGTGCCCATCTTTGCATGAAATGTTTCCTTGGCATCTCTAATTTTCTTGAAGAGATCTCTAGTCTTTCCCATTCTGTTCTTTTCCTCTATTTCGTTGCACTGATCACTGAGGAAGGTTTTGACATAAGACGGTAGAGCAGAAGGACATGTGCTCATCTTCTCCTGCGAGAACTCCAAAACCACAACTTGCTGCTGAACAACGGCTCACTAGAGAATGTTGGATCCCACCAAAAAAAGAGACCCACATCCAAGGGCAAAGGAGAAGCCCCAGCAAGACATAGGAGGGGCAAAATCGCATTCAGAATCAAACCCCTTACCTGCCAGGACGCTCAGAGGGCTCAAACAAACCTTCTGCACACCAGGACCCAGGGACCCCCCAGAGACTGAGCCAGAACTGTGTCTGAGTGTCTCCTGCAAAGGTACAGGTCAGCAGTGGCCTGTCGCAGGGGCAGGGACTCTGGGTGCAGCAGACCTGGGTATGGCATAAGCCCTCTTGGAGGAGCTCGCCATTAACTCCACCACAGAGCCGCCAGTACTTAGACAGGACTGAGTTAATAGACTCTTGGAGGGCACAAACAGAACTTTGTGCGTACCAGGACCCAGGAGAAAGGAGCAGTGACCCCAGAAGAGACTGACCCAGCCTTGCCCTGAGTGTCCAGGAGTCTCTGGTGGAGGCGTGGGTCGATGATGCCTTGCTGCAGGGTTCGGGGGCACTGACAGCGGCAGTATGTGCATGGGACCTTCTGAAGGAGGTCACCGTTATCTTCATCACCTCCGCCATAGTTTGTTTTCAGGTCAAACGACAGGGCCAGAACACTCAGGTTATCACTAATTGACTGACCTCATCCAATGTTTATAATCTTATAAGAAATGGCTGAGAAGCCTAAGATAAGATACTAACTCAGTTTGTGAATCATTTTTGAGGCAACTTCCCAGGACTGATGAGTTTACTCCCAGTCCTTCTAACCACTGGGAAGACCAGTGGGACCTGCAGCGCTGGGGCTGCTCACCCACCTATCTCCAGGGACCCCATGAAGCCAGCTCCACTGCAGTACGCTGGGCAGTAACTGTGCTTCCTGGAATAGCTTTCATAAGGTTCTGGCCCAATTACTCATTTACATAGGAGAACGGAGGCTGTCGTTAGATTTGATGACTGTTAACCAATCACTGTGATAGCTCAAAACTTTTAATTTTGGAAACAGGAAAAGTCCCTCTTCTTTCCTGTCTTATTATTACAATTACATGAGTTCCTTTCAGTCCTGTCAATATTCTACTGTAATTAGAAATAATTATGAAACTATGATTCTAATTGAAAACTATTTTATAACATTGTACATGTGAATTGTTTGTGACTACTGATGCAGAGAGACACAAGAACTGATGTTTTAAAATGTAGCTGACTAGGTAGCCGGGGTGGCTGCTGGTTCAAAAGCTGGCATTAACTGTGGTTAAGCTTCGTGCTGATGACTGCCCGCCATGGGATATATATGTGGTTTTGCCTAGAGTAAGGTGAGTACTTGCCAAGAGAATCAAGACCTGCTTGATTTTCACCTGCAATTTAAACAAGGACATGAGAACTCTCTGGCTACTATAATGAAACTCAGGCAAACCTTGTCTCCCCTCTGCTGAATGCCTGTGCTTAATATACCCCATTGAGGGTGATGCTCCAGGTGGCACATCAGGAGAGAGGTGGTGGCTGCCTCAGGAGCCCAGGGACCACAGTGTCATTTCTGAGGGGTCCCAGTGTCTCTCCCGTAGTGTATTTGGGCATCTCTCTCTCCCTTAAATGGTGTCACCATTTGTTGTTGTTTTTTTCCCCTGAGCATACTTGATACTCTTCTATTCCTAATTCTTAATTCTACTCACTAAATTTCTCATTTTGAAATCACGCAAAATTAAAAATTGCTTTTGAGTTGCATTTTGGCCTAATTTCCCCCCGAGATTCCTGTACTCAATATAGACAGAGCTTTCTTGCCATTATCCATTGGACAGCATAAAGGAAACCCAGAATAACAAAAATAAATTTTGGAATTCTCTCTTCCCATCCTTTACCCTCTCCCCCATTCTCCTGTAATCTCAGGGAGAAGGTACAATTTCTCACCAAGTTGTATGCCAGAAAAGAGAAAAAAGAAAAAAGACTTGGGATAATCTATGAAATGGATACATGGTCCACAAATAATTTTGTGTACCTTTATTCTTAGCATTTTGTCTGTTTCTTCCTTAGTCTGTACTTTTGGGATGATTCCCTAAATTCATAAAGCAATATAGTATATGTGCTGCGGAAGCGAGCACTTCATAAAGCAATATAAACATCATTAGATGCTTAAGTAAGTGCATATGACACTCAGTGTAGAAAAGACATCTAAACAAGAGGCCAAGCTCCAGCTAACTGACATTAATGGCCTGCTGGATAATCCTGGGCGAATCAATTAAATTCTATGAAGGCAAAGTTCTTCATCAATAAAGTGTAGCATTATTATCTCCTTTCCCAATCTTATTGTAAGAATCAAATGAAATGATAAGTATAAAACTTCTTTGTAACTCACAAATAAAATAATATTAGTGAGTTTCTATCTTTATTATTATTTTTGAATGCCTTCTATGTGCAAGGTAGCAGTTTAAAAGCTTTACATGAAAACTCATTTAACCCTTACACCAATGTTATGAGGTAGCTACTCTTAATTTTTATCCTCATTTCACAGAAGAAAAAACGAAGATAGAAAGGCTACATAACCTGTCCAAGGTTTTAAAGGTAGTACCTGGGAGAGCACTGATTTAAACCCAGGCAGCCGGACTTGAGACAGAGCACACATTTGTGCCTTAATGTCCCCCTAGACAAAGCCAGGTTTACAATCATGCAATCTCAGAATAAAATTGGGAAAGCTTGACAATATGCTATACAAAGCTCATTTCTCTATAGGACAGTTTTTATCTAATAGTAAGCATAGTTGATGGCATTGGCAAAAATCAATTTAACAGCTGAGTCCAGAGACAGTGGTCTTTCTTATATGCAGGTGGACGGAAACAGTCTTGAAAGCCAACAGGTACTTAAATGCAAAAACACCCTTTCAGACTTAAAAAGAGAATATACAAGCATTGTGGGTAGCCAGGCAAAAAAGCTGAAATATGTCTAACTGATTTGTCACATAGATATATTTATGCCGTATTTAGCTAAGCATTTACTGAAACTGTTCACGTGACCATGATTCTGCAATTAAACCAACGGACCATGTCGGGAACTTTTCTTTCATCTCACCTCTCGGTACATCACATCAGCACAAAGATACTGACCACCGACTTTGGTTAACAATGGCAGGAAGTCAGAAAGTTCAGATGCACAGACACACCTGTGTTCTTAATCACCCACCCATACCTGCTACCTGGAGAAAACCTATTGGCTTCTTTCTCTTTCTCTTTCCATTTCTTTCCCTTGTTGGAATTCTTCCGCAAAGGTGCCCTGTAATGACAGCACACAGTCAGAAAGGGAACGTAACCCTTCTCTTACAGAGGGCTTGCTTTTTAGCTCGTGAAGCGCTTACCCCAGATTCACGAACTTCCGCTTAATTTTTCCTCCTCGTACCACCAATGAACTGGATGCCCTTAGTGATTTGGGACCTTTGGCACCATCTAGGATATACACATATGTAAAAAACAAAAGTGATTATTATCATTTTTTCTATTACTATCATTCTTTAAAAAGCTATTGTCAAAAGTCACTGCATCTCTGTATCTAAGGGGTTTGCCTCAATTTCTAAGTGTAAAAGAAAACAATGGATGCCTTTTATAAAGAAACAGGATACAGCTATGTTGAGGAACACTCAGTTAAACCAGGAGAGGGCCTGTTATACAGAAGCCCAACTCTAAAATCAAAAGAATTTTAGCTTCAAATAAAGTGGAATGAAAAAATACACAAGAATAAACACTATCAAATCATCCTTTACATTCAAAGCAGGGACCAGATGACTTTTCTTTTGTTTATTCTCTGGCTCCAACTCTGCTTCAAATGTCTGGGCTGGGTCCTCCCCGTCTTTCCTGGTTTGGGTTTTTAAACGCCTTCTGACAGGAACCCAGCCACTTCCCCTCTATGTCCCAAGTCCAGTAAAGAATGTCACCCCTGAGAGTCTGGGAGATCCAGGGAGAAAGTGCGCGTCAAAGTTTCCCCTTCTGGTCCGCCCCTTGCTACTGGCCTGCGGCCAGCACTGGGACAGAGGAGACGGAACACTGGGGAGACGGCTCAAGCAGGAGCTCAGCTATAAAACATTTACAACTTTGCAAGGTCTTTTTTAGAAGTTGGCTCGGAGCACAGCTTGGCTGGCCTCCCTTGATGGGGAAGACTCCAAAACCTCCTCAGTGTTTGGAGCTGAATGATCCTTACTTCTCTTGAGTCATGCTGGCATTCGAAAGCGCAGCAGCTGCTGGGGGCTGGGGACACTTGAGATGATGCCAGAAACCGATCAGAGGAGAGACTCTGCCAAAGGAATTCAATGTCAGCTGCAGGAGCAAGATTTCACTCGTGGCACTTACTCCACCTTGGACAAGGTAGAAACTGCTGTGGCTCTACCTGGAACTATATAGCAATGGATGCTGTTTGGCATTATATTTCAGCACATCCAGTTATCTGAGAACATTAACAAAAGGTGTCTTAACTTTGATGCCTATTTGTGTATGAAAACTGCTTTTTCTCAATTGTCTGTGGGTGTCTATCTTTTTAAAATTAAAAAGAAAATCCAGCAACTTTGTGGCATGGAATATAGTTCTCCTAAGGAAGTATTCAGTTAGCCTTCTGGGTTAATTTTGCTTATGCTTTTTGTCTATTTCAGAAGAAATTTCTAAACACACATAACTTACAAACACTTCTCATTTAGAAGTTTCTTTTCGAAGTTTTGAAGCAGCACAGGATGTTGAAAAACATTCTAAGGATTTTTAGTAATGAGCTTTTCATAGTTTTAGTTAATGATACTCTGATTACAATAATCAATAATTTTGAAATGTACATAATGAAATAGAAAGTCAGAAATATGCCCATGTCAAAATCCACTTCTAGCCTCAAATATTTATTATGACTGTTTGCACCATTACTCTTCAGGTAACTGAATTAAATAGCCACAGATGTGACATATTCACCTAAAAAAATCTATAGACACGGCACAAACTTGTTCTAAGGTGATTTTGCAAATGGACATTAAAAAAGCAGGTTTTCCTAACAGAAGTCAAAGAACAGAAAATACTATATTTTTCCAAATCAATTCTAGAGCAACTCTTAATGGCAAGGACTGTGCGAAGTTAAAAGGAGACTGATTTATTATTTTCGGAAACAAAGGTGGCTGGGAGATGTTTCAACAAGTGGTGTGAGGAGCAGATAAGACAATGTACACGGCAACACTCTATAACCTATTAGTGTGGCAATTATTTGGACATCTTGGGATTAAAAGCCTGATTCTGCCCATCATAGAGCCTACTGCCAGGCAACCTTACATCATTATCACATACATTTGCCAAAGTGTGTTCCAAGGCACACTTAAATGAATGCATTCAAAAGGCCAGAGAGGCAAAATTGAGTAATAAAGCACTTCTCCAGTTTAAACCAATCAAATCCATCTTTAATGTACATCAGAACTTCTAGTCCATGTTAAAACCAACACTGGATTGGTGTGACTTCAGGAAAAGAAGAAGAATTTTGACAGTTTTGTCTGTTTGCTTATCTAGCTATATATGAAATTTCCACTAGGCTTTTTGAAATCTGTCCATTACCACCTTCATGAGCAATCAGAGGTCCAAGTCTTCACACTGGATACCACAGCTTTAAGCTTTGACAAGCTGGTCTTTATTTTCAAAGGAAACAACTGGTCTCCTGAGCTAAATATTAAGGCCCTTGCTGGGACTGTATTCTTCTTATTCTCACTCCAACAAGACACCTGACTACCTCTTCTTCTTTTACTGTGTTCTTGCTGGTCAGCCACTCAGTTGTGTCCAACTCTTTGTGACCCCGTGGACTGCAGCACACTAGGCTTCCCTGTCTTTCACCATCTCCCACAGTCTGTGCAAACTCACGTCCACTGAGTCGATGATGCCATCTAACAGTCTCATCCTCTGTAACCGTCTTCTCCTGCCCTCAATCTTTCCCAGCACCAAAGACTCTCAAGTCTACCTCCCAGCCCTGCCTTCTCTCTGGAGCTCAAGTCCGCTTCTACTAAAAATGGGTTGATCATCTTTCCCCCATAGTTTCTGATTTCCTGATTTCTATTAATGACAGGGACCACGCTTTCTGCGGCTGGCAGCCCTGTGATCAGTTTCCACCTCCTCACTCTCTCCCCCTCTATCTAGTCAGCTTACTGTCAGTGGTTCTCACATCACTCTTTCTTTTCCCTAAATGGAGCTAGGTATTTATCAAACATCCAGTTGTAATGGGAGGCTTTCTGTCCTAGTTTCCACTGAGGTCCCACGATTAAACAAAACGGTGACTTGTGAATGCGGTATTGGTACAATTTAGAATTGTACCAATCTACTTCAATTACATGTTCAATAACAGCAGAGAATCAGACTAAGGATTGCAATCAACTACAGCTATTAACTGAATTATTACCTTTGTGATACCATGGTAGGCCAAAAGTAATGGTATATTACTTTAAAAAAAAATCTAGAAAAATGGCAACTAATGACTAAGACAATTTCAGAGTTTATTCAACAATGTTGAGTGGAAGGAAACATATGTCTAGACTAGGAGTCAGCAAGCTTTCTCTGTAAAAGGCCAGAGTGAAAATACTTTAGGCTGTGGGCAACTGACCCCATCACAGCCACTCACGCTGCTACAGTAGTATGAAAACAGTATGGAACTGTATGAGTGTGGCTGTGGTCTGAAAAAACTTCACTTCTAAGGACAGGTGGAGGCTGGATTGGGTTTGATGACCTCTGTTCCAGAAGATCTGTACTGATTATCTAGAGAGACATACTTATTAATTCATCCAAGAAACTTAGGGGTATAAATCACATGCCATACTTCTTACTAGGGACCACGAACGCACAGATGAATACGATGGATGAGAAAAGCCTGTCCCGCACTTGAAAACTGGATCACTTACCATACACAAAGTGACAGAAGCAGAAGTAACAGTGAGATAATTTCTGTGGGGGTCAGAGAGCAATTAACCACCTGGGAAGCGGGGCAGGGCACAAGGGGTCCACTAAAGGGGGTGAAGTTTAAGATGGGCTTGGAACCAAGTCCAGAATCTACCAGAGGGACACGCTAGGTATGAACTTACACATGAAGTCCAGTTCGTACTTGTGAGTAATAACCCCATTCTAGTTCCTTGACTGAGGTGCCAGTGAGCTGTAAGAACCACACACGTATAAACACACACACAGGTGAATCAAGCTCATCCCACTGAACCTCTGTTGACTCCTGGTCTGAACAGTGGATCTGTCTCATACGGCAAAGAACTCAAGGACTTTACAGATGGCAAAGAGTCCTGACTGACAGATTTCTTTGCTATCTTTCAAAGTACAACAGGACATGAGAGTGGAAGGCAATCAAGTGTAAGGTTATTGATGGTGATGGTTGTGGGTGTCAGAGAGACAGGGTTTGTCACCTGTCCGAGGGAGACAGAGAGAGAGAGAGAGAGAGAAATAGAGATGGACTCTAGTCTACAAACTCCCTGTGGGAAAGAATGGAATATCGTCATTGTATATTTGGCCGTTAGCACAATGCTGGACACAGCGCAGGTGTTCAACTATTTGCTGAATAAATACATGAATGAATAGATTAATATTAGTGAACGTGGAAGACCACGGAGTTCTTCGAGGCTGGAAACCTTCATCCAAGGAAGGAAAGAATGGGAGGCACTACTTTCATCCAGTCATAGCTAATACCTAATAACGGTTATAAAGTTAATACTTTATAAAAGCTCAATTAATTGCTCCTTTCTAGTTACTCACAAGCATCATCAACCCAGGAGAAAATGAGAAAGCTCAAGTATTTCATCTCTGGAGAAGAAACCACCACCCCTGTTTCTTGGTCCTGCTTACAGCAGCTATGAATTTAATCCCAAAGAGGCAGTGGCAAGCAAAGGAGGTCTTTGGAGAAAAGAAGGAATTCTCACATTTTCATGCTAATTACTGCTAACCACATTCTGCTGAATATTCCTGCTAATGGTCTGTGAAGCACAGATCATACCCATGTAATACTTTCCCAAATCTGAGATGAAACACCTGCTTTTTAGAATGAAAAGAGAAATAATCTAGACAAGAGGTAGCCACTTTAAAAAAATCTTTGAGTCAGGTTTCATGTGTGAGTGATCCACTTTCTGACTACAATGTACTTCTTTCAGATACCTAAGTTATACCTGAAAACTCAAACAGCGGAATACAAGGTATTAACCTCTGCCTCCAAAATAGGTCCCTCTGCTCTTTTGCCTTCTTACAAGCCAAGTAAGGTCTATACACACTTTTTTCTGAGGAGATGATGACTGAGGGCTTGTTACAAGTATGTTTCTATAAAAGTGCTATTATGACCCACCATTCAGGTTAATTAATAAGAGTTTTTGAAGCCTTTATTCTTTTGAAAGTAAGCCAAAAATCACAGGACAAGTCCTTCACCAACTTGACAAATTAGCAGGTTTGACATACTTTCTCCTGCCTCCACAAGGATCTTGTACACCCTAAGTACTTAATTTTTACCTCAAAACTTCTTCTAGAAGTCTTGTGCTTAGGACCAAACCTGTGGAAGATAATTCCAGCAAATCAATAGGCTCAGGGAAGAAAAACAGGGAAAATATCGGGGTAAAGCTATGATGCTTACTAAGAGTTACAAAACAAAGTGAGTCCCCACAATCAATTGTATTTCTATATTCAGGATATATTCATGGAAAGATTACAATCTTTGATTTGGTAGAGATGTGTGTGCTAAGTTGCTTCAGTTGTGTCTGATTCTTTTCAACACTATGGATTATAGGCTGCTAAGCTCCTCTGTCCATGGGGTTCTCCAGGCAAAAATACTGGAATATGTTGCCATGCTCACTTCCAGGGGATCTTCCTGATGCAGGGACTGAATCTGCGTCCCCTGCATTACAGGTGGATTTTTTACCCATCATATTTTAAATGACCCTATGTGTGTGAGAGTTTCTTCTTCAATGTGATCTTAACTAGTTTTTAAGACTCTAGTTACATAAAATAAATGAAAATGAGCTTATTTTTTGTGCATCTTTGCATCACTTAACTTGTTTAAGCAAGAATTTATTACTTCTATTAATTAAAACAAACAACTCAAAGGACAATAGTCTACTGACACTGCTATGAGATTCTCATGTTAATTCTAGGAGCATATTTTAAAATTTATGGACTAATCCTACTGTATTATCTTTATTATAGCTTTTCTATCACCTTCTATGCAATATAAATTACTGTGAAAATTTCTTCTAAATAAAAACCAGTTAATGGGTTAAGACCTATACTGTTTTCACCTCCATATATATATATATATATATATATATATTTTTTTTTTTTTTTTTCCTATATGAGTATGTTAGTGTTTATTGAAACTTTATGGGATGCTATTATCTAAAATCTCCAGGACTCCTGAAGAATTTCCTTCAACAAGAAACTTGCTGAGGAAGTGAAATACTAATCAGATAGGAAAAGATAAAAAAGTAAGGGAGTTCTCTTGTCCCATAATGTAAAAGGAAAGCAGTGTCAATTAGTAACTAAGCAAAAGACACAGGCCCTTGTTTTCATGTGTTACAAATTGAGGTGTTAGTGAAGTCAGACAAAACAAAAGCTAAAAAAACCCAAAGTTAACAGTACCTTTCTCTTGCAGTATTTTCGTGGTGGTGGCTTGATTGTGGCAAGGCAGTTCTTCCGTATCATGATCAGATTTTGAAGGAGAGGAGAGTGAAGTGTCTTCCCCAACAGAGGAGGAAGGCTCCCCTTCCGAGTAGAGTGGTCCTTCTTGAAATTCAGCTATGTGGTCAGACGAGAAGGGCACACTTCCAGCCACTGGACTGAGGGATGAAGCACCAGAATCTGATTCTGGAGAAGCTCTCAAACCCTTGGGCAGAAGTGATTTGGTAATGTGCATGTGGTTATAGAGACTGTTTGAAGGCTGTTGGTATAAAAGATTATAAAGGAGGTTATGCCACTGAACATCATTTGATACTTACTTTGAAATCAGACCGACCTTTTTTTCTTAGTAAATCCTATGAAAACCAATTTTTGAGGGTTTACAGATGAGACTGCATAGTTCACAACAGTGTACCATATTACCACTGTAGCTAACACAGACACCTAAGACATAATAAAAACAATGACTTGTGCATTAATTATTTACCACCAGGAAAAATCAACAGCTGAATATCAAAAGCACCATCATGAAATATGACGCTATGGATATTGCTCTTGGTTGTTAGTTCACTGAATGAGTACAGAAAGAATTTGAATTATAACAATATATAGAGGTGAATAAGAATTTAGGAGACAAAGAGGTGAACTATTCCAGTTGTTTTCAACTAGAATACAGAATCTGGCTGCAGGAAACTCATTATTTTCAGTAAGCTGTAGGAATAAGGATACAGCCCAAAGCCGCAAGTCAGAAAGCGGTCAGGGGTGCTCACCTTTCGCTCCAGACTGTCCTCCCCATCAGTTGAGCTGACACTGTCATAGAGTCTTGTCCTAGACGGTCTCTGGCGTCTGTTCTTCATGGAGAGCTGGGCCCGAGTTTTCAGTGCTTTTGAATCCAGGCGCTCTGTCTCTGGGACTGCTTCATTAAAGTCTAAAAATAAAATATTGCAAAATAATCTGTGAAACCTTTGCAGAGGATTGACAGAGACTATGGACACTGAAAACAAAATATCAAAGTTATCAGTAACACCAGGCAGGAAACAGGTGAGAATCATGGTAGTCTGTCTGGTAACAAAGGTAACAAAGATGAAATTTAGGAGAAATGTAAAACCAACACTAAACATGACCAAAGTCAACAGCAAAAATCTAACATTCACAGGTCATAAAACATTCCTATAATTATACAAAGCACTCATTTGTATTTATATGTTTACATGAACGTATGCTGAAGTGTTGGATGAAGAAAGATGTGAGAAGAAGGTGTATCAAAGTTGACAGCTCTTAGAAATCAAGACAAAAACCTACAAAAGTCAGGTGCCAGGTCAAGAGCAGATAACAAAAGGTGACCATTAGCATAAACTTTCTATAGCAAAAGTTACCAAAACTATAACTGTAAGGACTATACCACTTTGGTCTTAATATTTATAAATTTTTTTCCACTCAAAACAGAGTTTCTGAAAATTTAGCTTGTTCTTCTTTGAACTCTTACCTCAACAGCAAATTTAAAATAACTGGGGAAATAAAACAAGGTAGGCTATCTAAGCAAAACAAAAACAAAAAGGAATTAAACCACAAGTGCTTAATTTACTAGTATTATGGATGAAGTAGAATAAGCTGCCCATTGATAGATAAAGAAGATGTGTATACACACACACACGAATATTCAGCTCAGTTCAGATGCTCAGTCATGCCCAACTCTTTGCCACCCATGGACATCAGCACGCCAGGTTTCCCTGTCCATCAACAACTCTCAGGGCTTGCTCAAACTCATGTCCATCGAGTCGGTGATGCCATCCAACCATTTCATCCCCTTATCATCCCCTTCTCCACTTGCCTTCAGTCTTTCCCAGCATCAGGGTCTTTTCTAAGGAGTCAGTTCTTCACACCAGGTGGCCAAAAGATTGGAGCTTCAGCTTAAGCATCAGTCCTTCCAGTAAATATTCAGGATTAATTTCCTTTAGGATTGACTAGTTTGATCTCTTTGCAATTCAAGGGACTTGAGTCTCCTCCAACACCATAGTTCAAAAGCATCAATTCTTCCGCATTCAGCTTTCTTTATGGCCCAACTCTCACATCCATACATGACTACTGGAAAAACCATAGCTTTGACTAGATGGACCTTTGTCAGCAAAGTCTCTGCTGTTTAATGTCTCTGCTTTTTAATATGCTGTCTAGGTTGGTCATAGCTTTTCTTCCAAGCAGCAAGCATCTTTTAATTTTGTAGCTGTAATCACCATCTGCAGTGATTCTGGAACCCAAGAAAATATTCTGTCACTGTTTCCATTGTTTTCCCATCTATTTGCCGTGAAGTGATGAGACCAGATGCCATGATCTTTGTTTTTTGACTGTTGAGTTTTAAGCCAACTTTTTCACTTTCCTCTTTCACTTTCATCAAGAGGCTCTTTAGTTCCTCTTTGCTTTCTGCCATAAGTGTGGTGTCATCTGCATATCTGAGGTTATTGATATTTCTCCCAGCAATCTTAATTCCAGCTTGTGCTTCCTCCAGGCCAGCATTTCTCATGATGTACTCTGCATATAAGTTAGCTAAGCAGGGTGACAATATACAGCCTTGACGTACTCCTTTTCCTATTTGGAACCAGTCTGTTGTTCATGTCCAGTTCTGACTGTTGCTTCCTGACCTGCATACAGGTTTCTCAAGAGGCAGGTCAGGTGGTCTGGTATTCTCATCTCTTGAAGAATTTTCCAGTTTGTTGTGATCCACGTAGTCAAAGGTTTTGGTGTAGTCGATAAAGCAGGAGTAGATGTTTTTCTGGAATTCTGTTGCTTTTTCTATGATTCAACAGATGTTTGCAATTTGATCTCTGGTTCCTCTGCCTTTTCTAACTCCAGCTTGAATATCTGGGAGTTCACAGTTCAAATGTACTGTTGGAGCTTGGAGAATTTTGAATATTACACTTTGCTAGCATCTGAGATGAGTGCAATTGTGTGGCAGTTTGAGCATTCTTTGGCATTGCCTTTCTTTGGGGTTGGAATGAAAGCTGATCTTTTCCAGTCCTGTGGCCACTGTTGAGTTTTCCAAATTTGCTGGTATATTAAATGCAGCACTTTCACAGCATCATCTTTTAGGATTTGAAATAGCTCAACTGGAATTTCATCACCTCTACTAGCTTTGTTCGTAGTGATGCTTGCTAAGCCCCACTTGACTTTGCATTCCAGGATGTCTGGCTCTAGGTGAGTGATCACACCATCGTGATTATCTGGGTCATGAAGATCTTTTTTGTATAGCCCTTCTGTGTCTTCTTGCCACCTCATCTTAGTATCTTCTGCTGCTGTTAGGTCCATACCTATTATTATTTTTATTATATTAGGTCCATACATTTTATTACTCAGCCATAAAAAATAATGAAAGCTTGCTATTTGAAACAACATGGATGGACCTAAAGGGTATTTTGCTAAGTGAAGTAAATCAGACAGAGAAAGACAATTACTGTATGCGTTCACTTATATGTGGATTAAAATACAAAACAAACAAACATAACAAAGTAGAAATAGAGTTTTAGATACAGAAAACCAGCAGGGGTGGTGGTCAGAGATGTGGCAATGAATGAAATAGGTGAGGGAGATTAAGTAGTACAAGCTTCCAGTTAAAGAAATAAATGAATCAGGGGACTAAAATGTACAGAGTGAGGAATACAGTCAACAGTAATGTAATATCTTTGTATAGTAACACATGGTAAATAGGTTTACTGTGATGGTCATTTTGTAATGTATACAAATATCAAATCATTGTGTTGTGCCCAGGAACTAACATAGTGTTATAGGTCAATTATACTTCAACACTCCTGTCCCAAGCAACCAACCAAAGAAACTCATAAAAAAAGATCAGATTTGTAGTTATCAAAGGTGGGAGGTGGGGGAAGGGGAAATTAGATGAAGGCAGTCAAAGGTACAAACTTCAGTAATAAGATAAATAAGTACTAGGAATATAATGTACATGATAAATACAATTAACATCACTGTATGTTATATATGACATTTAAGAGAGTAAATCCTAGGAATTCTCATCACAAGAAAAAATAATTTTTCTCTTTTTTCTTTCACTTTGTATCTGTAAGAGGTGACGGATGCTCACTAAATTTAATGTGGTAATCATTTCATGATATAAGTGAAATTATGCTGCACACCTTAAACTTATACAGTGCTGAATATCAATTATATCTAAAAAAACAGAAGATAAAAAATATAGTATAAGAGCTAAAAAGTTAAAAATAAATATATCCTCTCCAACTTTCCTTTTATTAACTTTTAAGTTTACATTCCAAGTTATTTGCATGCATCTCTGTCTCATTTCTTTTTCTTGGATATCTACTCTCCTCACCATAAAAGACACTGATTTTTCAAAGGAAAATGTTCAAGTCTTTAAATAAAACAACTCAAAATTAAAAAAAAAAAAGAGTCACACCAAATGACTTGGTAAAGGCTGGAGGGAGAATCCGATGTGGTTCTCCTTAGTCTGGCTCTCCATCCCCTTGATCCTGCTGCCCAGAGACTAAGCCAGGACTCAACAGTTACCTTCTAAAGGGAGGGAGGGTTCCCATGAACACGCACAGGCACTGGCGGAGAAGAAGCGTTCTCCGGGTGAGCTTATTTGCAATGGTACTACTCCTTACATTTGTACAGGGAGCCACTCCTTAGATATAATGGAGCTTCATCATTAATCCTATTTTATCTTTTCAGAGTGCCAGTCATCACATGAAGCAATAATGTTGAAGAAACTGATAACCAAGTGGGTCTTGGATTTAAATTATTAAAAATAAAGCAAATAACTGAGCTGCAGAAAATATTAACATATATGAATATTAATAGAGTAAAACAATTTTTCACAGTGGCATTAGCCCATGAAATTCTTTTCCACAGTACTATTAAGAATTAACTATGCTTAAATATATTATGTTATAAAAACAAGGAAGCATTTCAGATTGTACCTTTCTTATCTATGGAACATGGTGCTTGGCATATGGTTCTGACAAATAAAATTAAATATATTGTTCCCTGAGAGATACAGCCACTGAATAACAATATATACAGAAGGTTTTCCTTTTCATTTCCTATATTTGAAAGAAAAGTGGATAACAGAAAAGTCAGACCATTCAGGTATATTTAAAGACAGCTAAATATTTTCTAATCAGTAGTCTATTTTTCACATGTCAATGGAAAAAAAATAATCCCCTTGATCAGTTTCGTCCTTCTAACAAATTCTGAACTTGCAACTGCCCATTAAGAGCTGTGATCATTGGGAGAGAATCAACTTTACAAGCTCTTGTTTACATACAAAACATGGAAATACAACTTAGAGGAATGCAATAATTTAGATACACCTCTGTACACACACATCTTACAATCTATCTATCTCATATTTGGATTGCACATTCTATAATACCAAAACTGTCCCATACGTGATCTCATTTGTTCCTCACAACAGCTCCAACAGACAGAGTAGCCAAGTATATATTTTGCTCTCCTGAGGCTCAGAAAACTTGACTGTCTTGTCCTCATCCATATAGTTAGTTGATGAGCTACCAAACCTTTGTAGTTTCTTGACTCCTAGGCCACTAGCCTATGCATGCCAACTTAGCTGATGTTGAACAAATTATTAGAATCAGATTTTAATGCAGTTAGAGTTCAGGGTTTTCAGCTGTCAATTCACACATGATGTGACTAGGAAATTCACTTCTCCAACAGGTTATTATGAAATATTATTAATCTTTCGTAGATATGGAAGAGTATCAAAAAAGGAAGAAGTTGAAAGCTATAGAAAAATTATTTCTCAGATGATTTCTTCTCTTGTTGGTTTGGTAACAGCTTTGGTTACCCAGTGACAAAAAGACCTAAGAAAGAAGCTCATTCTACTTTTATGAGGATGCTTCCTTGCGCAACAGAACCTGAGCTCTGGAGCACCCAGCACAGTAC